TGTGAAAGAGAGTAGGGAAGAAGATGAAAAGGAAGAGAGAGAGAGAGAGAGAGAGAGAGAGAGAGAGAGAGAGAGATGCTTGAATAGGGAAATGAAGTGAGTGTATGGAGAGAGAAGAGAAAAAGAAGCAGACAAGGATTGGAACTTTGCTGTCGTTTGAAAGGTGATGAGAAGGTGAGCAGAAATGGCTGGACTTCAAATTGGGAGGAAGAGCATGAATGGTCAATGGTATGATTGAAGAGAGTGGAGAGAGAGAAGGATATTAAGGTGAAATGATAGGGAGATCAAGTGAGAAGAAGAAAAAGTAGAGATTGGAACTTGCTGTTTTTTGAAAGGTGATGAGAAGGTGAGCAGAAATCCATGGACTTCAAATTTGGAAGAAGAGCATGAAAGGTCAATAATGTGACTGAAATAGAGAGAAAGAGAGACAGAGAAGTGAATGAGTAGGGAAATCAAGTGAGAAGAAGAAGACGAGGATTGGGACTCGCTGCTGCTCGAAAGGTGATGAGAAGGAGAGCAGAAAAAGCAGGAGTTCAAGCTTGGAAGAAAGGTCAAAAACGAGTGGGTGAGAAGAAGCCATGGCGAGGGAGCAGTGGTCACTGAAGACTCGCCTGCCTGCCAAGCTTCAGAGAAATCAAAGAATAAAGACTCGCTCTGACAGCCTGCATGCATGGCGACTAAACACGTAGGTCTTTTCCATTTCAATATTACCACCACTCGCTTGCGCATGGTTAAATGGCACCCCCCTTCTCTTCCATGTACTACTTGCATCGACTTGTTGCAGCTTCTTCCATGTGCAGTCTTCTCCTGCAAACTCATATCTTTACACATCTGCTGTCAGCTTTCTACCTTTCCCTGATAAAAAGTTTCTCGACTGACTGGAGCAATGTTGCATCATGTGATCAACAACTCTCTCTTGCTGATGTTGGCCAAGAGAGGAAGAGGCTTCATGAAGCAGAAGACAGTCGAGTCAAAGCAGGACAAAGACAGGCCGAGAACACTTTTAACTCCTATCAGTTCAATTGGCATAAACAATATAGCAGCTTGATCAATTAATCCTCGTAATCTACTGCAGCACTTTAATCCATCACATGAATGGCAGCAGAGTGCAGTGTTTATTGGCATAGTTAAGTAGCTTCAAAGGCAAAAAAGAGGTGATTAGAATCTGCAACACTTGTTTGGCCATTACAATGAGCCAAAATGGGATCTAGTCAACCTTGCAACCACTCCAATTAAACATAAAAAAAAAAGCTAGTCATAAAATAATCTTTGGCTGACAAAAAAAAAAGGTGATTTAGATCAAAATCTTTAGCTACCAATTCCAATTGTCAGCATCAAAAATATCTTTAACAAAATTGGAAAATTATAGAAGTGATATTCCAAATTATACAAGTACACTAATTTCTTATAAAAAATATCCCTAATATACAAATTTGCATGTGGTTACCATTAATTAGATATGTGACTTCATAATCAAGCACTACATTTTTGGATCATAATAGGCACTGAGTACAAACAGTTAAATGTTAGAATTTGCAGTGATGATGTTAATAACCCCAGAGGTGAACAACAACTATGTCCACATCTAAGATGGTTTGCCTACTTGACTTTTACTGAAGAAACATTTCAGTGTCTTAGAGTCCCATTCAAAAATCAATCTTATCCCTTCTTGTGCACTGTTCCTCTTGTGTTTATCTTTCATCTGCATTCTGCATCAGGCAGATGGAATATTTCCTTCTGCAGAAGGATCAATTCTTAATGCCATCTTCTTGATAAATCTTTTTATTGTATCTTTAAATATGCTATTATTAATTATTATTATTATTATTATTATTTGGCAAATTACAGGATAATGCTCATGTGGTTGGTAACATGTTTGTTCCATCAAAAAGATAATAGACATTTTCTTTGCCTTGTCATGTCCACAATGGTATATAACATAAGACTGCTCCAAACTAATCACAATTTTTTAGGATGAAATGGTGGACCTTAAAAACATATGGAATCAAATAACAAAGAGAGTTTAGAAACAACTAAATGGTGGATGGGTGATGATTGACCCAACAAGCATATGTAGAGCCACTGCAAGCTTCATATACTAATTGAACTGCACAAGCACAAAAGTACAAATAACATTCCACATGGAAGGTTTAGTTTTGAGTAGTAGCTAATAGTTTCACAGACACAACAACAAGTGGCAATTAAGGCCAAGATCTTGTCTCTTTTGATACCTTAGTCTTCCATCACAACCTTTTGACAACATACCCCATCAAGTTCTTGGATTCCAACATTTTGTGATTACATCAAATTACGCAAACCACATTTGTTAAACCCATTCATTATAGGGCAAGCTTTGGTGGGATGTTGGGAGAGTGTCTCTGATACCTTGATGGTATATCAGGTGCTGAGAGAGCAACCTCTACTTAAATTTACCACAAAATCAATCCTCAATGTAGCAATGTATCATACTTAAAACATATTCTTAGTATAATATGAGTGTTATTTTTTCCTTGTGCCTGCAGAAATAGGTAATGCTTAATTTCACATGGAGGGGAGAGTTAAAATACAGTGAAAGAATTGTCTCGAACTTTGGAACTACAACAGAATCACTAATCGTAATCAATTAGGATGTTCATAGTGACAATACCATGCACCATTGATCAGTTTGAATGTAAATTAGGATGCTATATGCTACAAGATATCTTAATTAACATACATAATGGGATCTACCTTTGCTGTATCGATAAAGAACAGATTATAAATATGTTATCATCAACCCGGGATCATTAGACTAGCAAATATATATTTGAACAGCAGATTTATGATGTGTTGGCATGTATCACATGAATTCTACAGCTACAAGTTTAAGACAGGAAACAAACCGCATAGACATATATAGACAGTACATCTACTTAATTGATAAACTGAAACATAAAACTTAAAGTGAATTATAAAAGTCGATCACGGTTTAATACCAAACAGAAACCTGCCTATGCAAAAGGAAAAACTGGATAACAATCAAATGCGTTAAAACAAGCTGCAACCCCGATACAAGACTAGTACTTCTAAATAATGTTCACTCATCATCTTCGTCCTCATCATCATCATCAGCACCACCAGATGCATTAAGCGCATTCAATCGTTCAATGAGTTTAGCCTTTCTTTCCTCATAAGTAAGCTTCTTCAAGTTATATCTGCAATGCAAATTGAAATTAGTGAGAACATGCAGTATGTCTGCCTGGTCATGATTCCATCAGCTAAAATCTGCTGTTAGTCCAAGCAACATCAATTCAACGATGATAACTCACAAAAAAATCATGACACCCAATCTTGTTGGTTTAAATGTGATTGGTTTATACCTCTTGTGCTCCGTTGGTGGTTCTTTCGTAGATTTTATTGCACTTGGATCTGCACGAATGGCAGCATGAACTTTCTTGTACATCTCTTCGATGTCATCAGGCTCAATACCTTTCTTGATATATTCACTGAAGTGTGTCTGGTACTTATCTGGTTCATCCTCCATCAAAGCCTGGGAGAAAAGAGAAGGTGAAGGTAATTGACAATCATGGATGATAATTTTTTATAGAGAACTTGCAATTTGCTTCACTGAAAGCATACAGGAAAACAAGCTTGAGGTGTCAGATCAAGGAAACAGAAGCAAATAGCAGGTTGAAAGAAATATACATGTGCAACTATATAATGAAAGTACTCGAAAGAATATTAAAGTATATATCCATCCAACTGCATGATACGGCCATAGGTCAATACATCAACACACTGAATTTACCAGGAAAATTGTGTAACAAAATAGACATGCATGCACACGCATTCACATAACATACAATAAATAAAATATCATATGTGTGTGCATATTTACTTGATATTATGAATTTGCACATCACATCACATACATGTATATAACAAGTAACAGAAACAATATAATGTGAGAAACAATTTGCACATCACATCACATACATGTATATAATAAGTAACATAAACAATATAAAGTAAGAAAAGACTGTGAAAGCATCCAACCCTCATGTAAGAGGCAACATGACCACCAAAAATGTAATTTCTGTGAACCTCCGCATCAAGTTGCTTCTCGTCGTTCTTAAAACCAGCAAATCTCTTATCACTGTGAGGGATATCAAGTCCACCATCTAATGCTCCCTACATTCAAAATGGACCCAGTTAGTTGAACATATGATAACAAACATACAAAACAGATATATGTTGTGGAGTTTGAGAATCATATATTTAAAACTATCTTTACATATAGGACTGATAAGATTGCAGAATAAGATGTGTGGCCCAGTGCAGATGCACATATAGCTAATTAATGACATGATGATAGAGAAATATTATGATCCAGGTTTAGGTAGGATTTAATTAATGCCACAGGCTTGACCCACCAAATGATCTAGAACTAGCGACCAAAATAACCTGTTCAAAGGAGTAATACAGCTACACTAGGTTAAAATAAATGATGGATTAAAATAAGCTCTGTTTTCTGTCCTGACTTAGATAACCAGTTAATTAGCAGGATTACCAACCGAACAGAAAAGGATTAAAATTAACAAGCCAGAATTAGAATGATCAAGTCCAAATATTGAATGAAATGCAGCCTAAAAGAAAAGCTAAGAGAAGCTGAAGCATGTAATGCTATGCTTCATAATGGTCAGGAAGCAAGGAGATGTGGCGAAGAACCGTACATCTTGGGAGACAAATGGAAGATGATACTTGTTATAGACAAAAAGCAAGAAGCAGCACATGTATCATTCATGAGAATGATTACCGATTCATTAATGAACAGGAAGTCAGATATGGTGGGATATCCTACACCTTGGAGGCAACATAGGATGACAAATACATGTCATCTTTTACATACAATAAGCAAGAAACATAATAGAAATATTTTTTTCAGGAGATGATTCACTATGACAGATA